GCACATTCTCGTTGATTACACCTGCTCTACTTCATTACATCAGGGATTAATGGAGCCTGAGCATCTCCTCTCAGTTTTTCTATCTGTTAATCAATATCTTAAAGCAAGCGACAGCCAAACTCCAAAAACAGATCTAGAGGAAGCCGCAGTCACAAGGTTTGTATCTCCACTGAGCCCTTTTATTGGTTCCTGAGAAACAGGGAGGTCAATGTGCAAAACCAAATGGAATGAAAAGCAACATGTGCAGTGAAAACGAATCAATATAAACTCAACCTCAAAATATATTGGCAAGAAAAGAGATCATTTTCATTTAAAAAGTAATCTTTCCCTGTATTGGCACTGAGTATCAGCCATTACAGTGACAAAAATGGCTTTCTCTGGTCAGTTTACCAATAATCTCCATCTCGTTATGGCCATTTTGGATATATGAACCTTGGATAAGAATACAAGATCTCCACTCAACATGACAGAGTTTGCCTCTTAATCCAGTGCGACATTTTCATTATTGAATTGTCTGTGTAGGCCTGAAGCAGGTTTGGCAGGGCGGAGAGCGATGTGAAATAACTTCTCCCATGGAGCCAGTTCATTTAACTAAACCCTGATGACAAATGCAAATCACATCTAATCCTGACAGTGGCCTGAGCAACGACAGGGAAGAATAAAGAGCTGTTCTGCAGAAGTCTGTGCTGTTGGCTTTAAGCAACCAGATGAACCAATTCTGATTGCTGGATGATAAAATGATCTCATTGTCTTATATTTGATGCCAAATCTACACTTTAGATTATAAGGACTCGAGGGTGGGCTCTTTTGGGCTAATAAGCAACCATCCCACTCCAACCGCCTTAGAAACTGCAAAGCAACATGCTGGAAAACACTCAGAACACCTTAGCAACTGCAATTCAACACCCTACCATTATAGCAGAAATATATAGACTACACTCCACAAGTTTAAGGCTGGTTAGAGTTTTTTAAATAAGCCCCTTAAGCTCATCAAAGCTCTTTTGTTTGATCAAAAATACAGTAATATAGACAATATATATATATAT